GGGCTCCGGCGGCCCCGCAGGGCCACGCGCCAGCGTTCAGGACGTGTCCATGGTCTGTACAGTTTCATCCACCACCTCGATTTCCAGCAGTGACACACTTTCTGTGAGGACTGCAGTAGTTCCTTTTTCACACTTGTACCTACCGTACCTGTTACAGAAATAGGGGAAAATTCAGCACGAGAGGGGTACATCCGAAAACTCTCATTTAAAATTGCCCAACGGATGGGGCTTCTCTAGAAGTTTCCCAGTGGAACAGTCCAAAGGAGGTGAAAGCACTGCGCTTCCTGCACAGGGTAAACTGGCCACACTAACTGATAAAGTTGCAGATAAATTAGCATTTTTAGGAAACATGCTGTATTAAAAAAAATTAACTTACAAGCAACTGGGAAGGCTGCTCGATAGAACTACGTGGGATCGCACTCGAGCTGTGCCCCCTCACCCAAAGAACAAGCAATTATTTTTTGCAACTCTGGAATAACTTCACCAATGTATTAGCTTTGCAGTTCTGTGCTAAAATTAGCTAACGTTTAACAAAAGACTATCTGTAATCAAGCCATGCTTCTGAAATCCCAACTGCACCCAAGCTCTCACCCTTTTCACGCGTTCACGGACTGAAAAGTGTAATAAATGCTCTTTCCTAGCTGACCACCTCCAGCACTTGTGCTCAGAATGAAGCGCCACGCTTCTGGAGCGGCACGGTCAGAAACGCTCCTTTAACTGGAGCAGCGCGTTTTGTGGCTTTGGCCATAGCTCTGCCTTAAAAAGAAGGGGACTGACAAGTTGCACAAGTTGTTACACATCAAAGTACATATTGCAAAAATCCCTCAGCTGCCTTGGGGAGGGCTGCGAGCTCACTGATGAGGCAATGGAGTTCACCCAGCGACAGATCTGAAGGTGTAGAAGTAAAATCTGCCAGCTCCTCGAACAAACTGTGCCCCTTCAGCTTTTCATCACCTCTGCATCCTGAGCAGCACCACTGTGACCATTAAACATGTGCGTTACGGCACCGACCACTGAGAACACAACACGGCGGGGGCTGGACAGAAATCTGTCTTTTTGGTGCGGCTTCCCCAGTGAAGCAACCGGGGGGGGAGAAAAGCACAAGTTTCTGCATCGCGGAAATGGTTGAGAGGCTTCTTTGATTAGGAAAGCATCAATGCTTACGAGTAGTTTTAGTTTATTTGTACGTGAAATGAGACTCAAGTCCAGTCCAACTTGAAAAAAAATAAAAATCTTGTGACTGCTGAGTTTAGCTCTTAATTGTAAGCTGTCCTTTCAACACATCATAGGGCATTTCCAGACAACTCTGAGGAACAACTTCAGCAATCAAAACTCTGTCTGTGTTGTCTTAATCCTGCATAGGGCAGGTTTTCCAGCCACAGGCTAGAAAGGGCGTCTAGAAATAGGATGAAACCCAGCCCCGCAGTCACAGGCTGGCACTGCAGAGCTTTCGTGTGGTTTTTGGCTTTGTCCTGCAGGGAGTGTGTCCACAGGCTGAGGACAGGCTGTGCTGCCCAGGACAGCTTTTCAAATCACACACTAAGCTGGCGTGGAGCTGCCGAGGGTGCAGTCCCGACACCACACACATTGCAGCACATCAAGGTGATGTTGCTCCCCGATAGCACAAGAAACGCAGTATTGCTCAATGTGCCGCTTCCTGACTTCCTCGAACCGCCTGAAACTCAAGAGCAGCCTCTTGGTGCAGTAAAGCAGCAGGTAAGAAATTCAGTTGTTTCCTTCATGTATCTGTATCTGCCACTAGTGGCCTCTGTTCAACGGCGGGTACAGCCACTAGATTTAGTTGAAATTCATGTACCGATCTAGAAGTTACTCCAACAAAATTTAGTATTGCAGAAACAAGGGATTGCTGGGAAGAGTACGGATAATGCACAGCTTCAGGAACACTCACCTGTCCCCCTTCTTGTTGGCCACGTCGTAAGGACGGAGAAAATCCAACTTGCTCTTGCTGATAACGCAGATATCGATGTTGCTGCCAGAGCCCAGATCATTGTATATGCCAGCTGCGATGGCATCTCGCACAAGCTGTTTGGCTTCCTCTTCCTGGAAAAGTTAAAAAAGCTGTTACTGCACAAGTGCTGGTGTTTCACAGAAATGTTTGTCCACGTGACGAGGGAAGCTGCGAGCTCACGAACAATAACGGAGACGACGGCGGCTTTTTCATCACCGGAGTCCTGCAGAGCATTAACCCCAGGGCTGATGCTGTTCACCATCCACCACCCCGAGGGTGGGTCAGACTTCGTACAGACAGTCAAGGAAACAAAATTAAGGTTTCTGTCTTAATGAATGGAGAAAATAAATTTTACGATCTTTATCTTCCAGGCCTTTGTGCCTGTGTACCAGTTCCCTGTAGTGCCCTTGATGTAAGCGCTGCATACAAATTAAAGATTCACACTAGTTACAAGATCTCCCCAGGCAGGGACTATTTAATCATCCTCTGCAGGACCAAAATCATTTCTCTGATTTGGTAACATAGCTTGGTTTGCAAGATTTATTCAGCCTGGCTCCGTAGTGAACTGTAGCTCACTAACATTTTTAATTCCAGTCCTGTCCACAAGGGGAGAATATTTAAAGAAACCTGCTGAAAATACTGGTCAAACTGGGTACCTCTGTCAAAACACTGCAATTTGTAAAAAAATGGAAATTTGCCACAGTTTCTTTTCTGCTGTACACTTCAGATAATTCCACAGGTACCTAGAGCAGAACATGTATTTACTGTAGTTCATTTAAAGCATGCTGTATTTATTCATTTCAAGAGCATGTGCATTTCCAAATCACTTTGTACAACTGGGAGAATCCTGTTTGCAGCAAAACCAGAACAAAACCCTACAACAGGAAGTAAAGCTCACTATTGCTCCTGAAACCACACACTAATCCTGCAGAGGTTTTGATGTTTGCTTTCTCACAGGTTTTATACATCTACTTTCTGTTAAAAGAGCAAACAACCCTGCAGCTCCCCAAACGGCACGCTGCACCCGAGGGCGAGGAGGTTACTGATCAGACTGCAGAGCCCGGCACCGAGCGCAGCAGCGCCTGTCACAACCACAAGGAGCATTCAGATGAGTCTGTTCCAAGGAAGCAGTTCAAAGTCATCGACCTCTCCATTAAACTCTTACAACAGCTCTGCAGTCCCCTTCGTTCCCCGCTCCAGTAAAAGGCCCGACGGGCACGGGTGTGAGGAGCCCGAGGTCCGTGGTTTGCTGTCCCAGCTGCGCTGGCTCCCCCTGCAGCTCTCGGGCAGGCCTGCTTTCATCGCCAGGGCAGCTCGCTGACAAGTCCCCCCCCAGGCCGGCACTGCCGACAGGGCCCTCGCACCCTTCGTTCTGCTCTGGCTGGAGCTGGCGAGCGTTAAGAAACGCTGCAAAACAAGTTTCTCACGTACACGCCGGAGCACACAAGCCCCCTTAACTTTTCTCAAGGGTGTAGGGGGAACTTACTTGAAAACCATGACTAGAGCGTGCCTGTTGCAGTAAAGAACGAGTGAGACACCGCTCTGGACTGGGTTTTCTCCTCAAGTCACTCGTGGCGGTTGCTGCTCAGGCAGCGCAGCACGGCGGTACCGGAGCTCTGGTGACGCGACACCGCCCAGAAACCTGCCCCTGGGCACCACCAACAGAAGAGCCAACACTCGACGCTGACTCTGACAAGCGCAGCTTTTGAAATTTCCTTCCTTTTGCGTGCCCGGGTGTCTGTGAGAATGCTGCCAGGCGAGGCCGACGCTGGCCAGGGGCACGGCGCTCCCCGAGCCCCGACCCAGCAGCAGCTGCGCCAGCCCCCGCGTACGAGCGCAGCTGAAGAGGAGCCCAAAATTAGCTCAGCTCCGGCCCCGTCTGCTCCGGGGCGTGCTCCGCATTCTCCGATGGCGCTCTGTAAAGGATCTCGTTAATAACTATTCCTGTTCCAACAGCTTAATTAAGACACTGACCTGAAGGGGAGCATTTCTTTCAGTAAACTACAGAAACAGCCTAAGTTCTTATTTCACTCCCCAGTTTATTACTATTACTCTTTTATGAAAAAAAGAAAATTGAACTCAACTTCCTACTAAGCTGACTAGAACAAAACCACCATGCTGCAAAAACAATTCCCGTACCTTTGCTCAGTGGTTTGGGTAATAAAACTCTGCTAAGCAAGTACTTCAGTACTACAGCAAAAGTAAATATACCAGAAAATAAAACAAAGATGTATGTGTAGATATGGTTTAAAAAACAAGTGGTAGCAAAACCAGAATAATCTGTTATGTGAGCATTAGTGTAAGAAAGGCACTGCAGCTCAGGAAAACTAGAGCAGATTGGTGGGGGGTTGTTCTACTCTGTCTTTTTTCTTTTTTTTTTTTTTAAATGTAAGTCTCAGGAGTCCTCTAAATAATTTTTACTTTTTAAAATGTACTCTTATCAACCTACTGTTAGCAAAATAGTTCTAAAAATACCCCGTACAGTCAGCAAAGCTTGGTTGTAACTGCACCAGGCATCTGCTATACTGAGAGAGGCTAAAATACAATCTCGGCTCTTTCATCTGATCCAGCGCAGCCTAGTTCATGAACCTGGACTAACTGTAATTACAAACAACCCTGCTGCAGGGCTCTGCCTACTCCTCCTCTCCTTTCCATAATTTAGAAAGATGACCAGAACAGCCACAAGCAAAAAACCCCACAGCATTCCTTGCCAGAGATCCTGCACACGAAGCTGCAGCAAGGACTGATATTATCCAGCCAGAAAATTAGGCGTTAGTGTGGAAAGTGCTGACACAGGGGCACGAATGAGTCGGTGTAGTAATTAATCTTAAAAAACCCAACAAGTTCCGAGTCCATAAAAGGAGCACTTCCTACTTTACGGCTGCAAAGACCAAGCTAACTGGGAGCATCGTTCTCCCGGGTCCGTGCGGCTTCTTAAATGAGATTACAGCAAGAGTGATGCCCCGTAACAGCCGTCAGCGGTGACGAGCGGCGCTTTATGGAGCTATCTGTTTGCCTCCATCACCGCCGCGCACAACGCGTCCCACGACTCCAATGCGCAACTCCATTTACCGCCACATGACAAATGGGCAGCACTTGGAACAGGCGCAAAGAGGTCCAGCTCAGCCGTGTAATGGTCACCACAGCTGGCCCGGAGTGCTCGAGGGGGGAACAGACAGACCCCCAAGTTCATTAAAGTGACCAGGAACGGATCTTTCAAAGCGCGTCTGAGGAATAGTGCAGTAAAGGCTAAAATAAATAACTCAGCATGGAAGGCTAATCTGAAACGGTGTTTGATAAATAATTTATAACGCAGACAATTGTCCGCATTTAATATTGGCGCTACTGGTAGCATCTTTAAAAGATGATTTATGTGTTGTAATGCCATTAAGCTTTATATGGGCCCACTGCTAGCTATAAAGTCTGCTGAGATTTAGAGAATGAGTTTTAAACTGTCACGGCAACATCATAGTGGATAGAGCCTGTATTAAATCTTTACTTTAAACCTGTTATCTGGAGAGTTGCATTTTGTAGACACTCAGGAACTGATAGATTACCTCTCCACAGCTGCTGCGGTGCAAGTCCCAAACAGCGCCAATAAGGAACTTTTACACATTATTCTTGTATATGACTTGAATCAAGTTTCTCTTCTCACTTAAGCAATTTCCAGGTTTCAAATGCTACTGAAGAAAAAAGGGCAAGAGACTTCGCTGCAGAAGATGTGGATGTTTGCACTTATTAATACTAACTTTAGTAATAGCTTTGAAACAAGCGTATCGTTGTGCCTCCAGCAGTAAAGCTGCAACGGCTTCAGAAGATGATTTCCGCAACATCTCGTAACTTCGCAAGTTAAACAGGACGTGCCTTTTCCAGATTTAAAAACCGTAGAAAGTATTCTTTTTTTCTGAATTCTTCAAGTGAAATGAGCACCTTCTGCAGGCACCAGTGTGCAGTCAGGCGTGACACCTCATGCGGATCTCCAGCGTTAAGCCTTAGCAAGGCTTTGATATTTAGTGCACAGTTAATATTAGTACAGCACGAATGACAGTGTGTAACAATTTTTGTAAAAAAAAGAAATCAAATTCTTATCACAACTGTCTTTTACAACAGAAGGACATTTTTTCAAATTATACAATGTAAAAAGTAGATCCTACTTAAAGTGAGAATCTACAGGACTCACATGGGAAGAGAAGGGGAAGGAAAAAAGCAGAAGCTTCGGGAAGCACAATAATAATAAAATAAATCTATAAAGGAGTGTTGGGAATTTGGGGCTAGGAAAGCGGTACCTCTTGAAGGACAAGCACCTGCAGAAGCATAATTAGACTTTGGAAGAGCAGTCAGCACACTACAACCTGTGAGAGGATGGGTAAGCCTGCCTGTTGGGAAAAGCCGCGGTAGAGATCGATACGTAACTGGAAGCGATGCTAAAACCTGCTGGCTAAGTCCAAAGAGAGAACAAAACTGAGAAGCGAAGTATTTTGTGTTTTTCTTGTACAGGGAGGCTGAAAGACTCCATTAGCGAGAAGGAATTTGCTTTGGCTCCTTTTGAAGCTGGGAAGGGGCTGGCACCTGCAATTCAAACCACTCAGGTTCAAGAAGCCTTCCCCAAAAGCAGTATGTGTTTCAGGTAGTGCTTCCTGAGCAGGTGAATGACATACCCCACTTCATTTTACTTTTCTTTTTACATAGACCTATGCTAGTTTGCTTTTCCCTCATCTTTGTTCAGGTGAATGAAATGTAGAAGTAGCCAGCCTTTCTAGCTCTCCTCCTCGCTCTTCTTCCTCCACCTTCTTGAGATTTAAGGGTCCAAACAATGCAGAACAGGCTATTAAACAGATATATGTGATGAATATGCAGGATCAGGATTCCAAATCACGGAAAACAGGACAGAACTGGAACGTCAAATGACTGCAGCACAAAGAAGCGTTTACAAGACAGAAGTTGCAAGTAGAAAGAATTCAAGAAACAATCCCAGCAAAGGCAAAGGGGTTATGAAAGTCAGAATCTGGAAGATGAGCAGCATCTGGGAGCCACGGAGCAGTAAAACACAAAGATGGGTTCTGGGACCAACCACCAGCTTGTGCATGAAGGA